GAGTCTTAACAGCATAAGCTCATTGAAACATAATTTACATCTTTATGAAATAAATGACAACAAAACAGAACAATTTATTTATAGTGTGCATGACAAGAAACAGTTAAAAGATGTAAGATTTATACTGAATTTGATCAGCCAAAATGCAAAACGAAATGCTTACTGATTGTAGGTGAGAGGAATCAGGACCTCACTTCTTTGAGCGTTTTGAGCTATATACTAGTTAAGGATCTTGTACAAACCATATTCCTAGATTTGTGAACGTCAACTGAAGACTTCGGCTCATCTCGATTGCTTTTTGACACATCATATTTTTGAATGTAGGTGGTGATTCCCCCATGTCTGGATTTGTTATCCTTTTTTGGCTAATTGGGAAGCTTCTACCTTTTATGTAGTCTGAGAAATGGGATTTTAACTGGTCTTCTAAGTGCTCGTGTAAGCTCTTGTTATCGAATGTAACTGGAGGGAGGATGGTCTTAATGGATGATCCATGGAATTTCAATTCGACATTAGATGGAAACTGTAGGATATTTTTTATCCTTGTGCCACCAGAGAGGTCAACAAATTGGAGTTTCTGCATATGATGAATGGCTGGGAAATTCTGCAAGTTCTTACAGCCGCAGAGATTGATTTGCTCGAGGTTTCGAGCTTCTGAAAGCTCCTCGACTTCAAGCAGGTTCTGAGAATGGCTAAGGTTGATCCTCTTCAACATCTTGAGATTCTGAACCAAGGAGAGACACATTTGAAGTAAATGACCAAAGGAGAAACAGAAAAACAAAAAAAAGGTCTTACTTTTTCATTTAAGTTTGCTTACTTTGGTTCCTCCCCATAGTCTTTGGAGCTGACTGTAAGGCATACTGAGTTCAACAAGGTTGCTTGGATCAAAATCTTGTGGTAAGGATTGCAAAGGGTAATGCTCCCACTGGAGAATTCTAAGCCGAGAAGGCAAAGACTTGAGGGCCTTATGTCGGTTTTCAAGATTCGAATAGTAAATCTTTAGGAATCTGAGGTTATACATAGATACGATTGAAGAAAGTTTGAGATGTGAGTCTAAGTCAGATGCATCCAGAGATATGGCTTCGATGTCTTTAGTGCCCTGAAAACACATAGCGGAGTAGCTTATTGATGATCAGGAAGCTAAAGTTATAAAAAAAAAAGAAAAAAATGGATCAAAAATGGTAGAAGAAGACCTACCAGTACACGTTTGAAACTTTTGAAACTTGTTTTGGGGTCTTCATCGGTTTCGGGTTGAGGATACCTCCCGATATTACAGACTACAGCCTGAATCATGCTATGCATTTCTACTCTGTTTTCTGAAATAGTCAGGAGAGAGTTCTCCACAAGCCGGCAGATTCCAATCTCTGGAAAGCAACCAAGGTCATGAAGTCTTTCCGAGACACGTTCAAGATCTTCTCCTATGAAAAATAAAGCAATATATACAAGTATGTTCTTCTCGTTGTCACTAAGTGCATAGTAGCTACTCTTGACTACTTCCATAATCTGATGTGGAGGATCTTGCTCGAGCCTGAGGAACAAAGACTCCTTTTGATTCAGACCCTCCTGTGATGACATCTCTTCGCCGTATAGTCTAAGAGATAAAGGGTTTCCATTAGCGTATGCAAACACCTTGGAAGAAAGCTCCCTATGAAGATTATTCTCTGTCACATCTCTTTCAAAGGCACACCATGAGAATAGTTGCAGAGCCTCACGCTTGTTTAATCCTTCAACTTTGTAAGTTTGATTGACTCCACACTGGGAAAGAACTTGCTCATCTCTGGAGGTTACGATGATCAAGCTTCCATGACTTAACGAACCAAGCCCACTGAGAAAAGACTCTGCATCTAGATGATTTCTCACATCATCAAGAACAACAAGAACTCTTGGTTGAACTTTTTGATTTGAAAGGTTTTCAAAATGTTCCTGCAGCAAACGGTGAAGTCCCTTCTTTTGAAAGGTTTCATGAAAGTTTTGGAGTAAGCAAGTTGCTTCATAGTCACCAGACATTTGGTCAAAGAGTGCCTCAGCAAGCGTCGTCTTGCCTATGCCTGGCATACCCCAAAGCCCTATGCTCCTGACTCTCCATTGTTGCTTGCATAGCACGTTTACTATAGCCGGAAGCATCCTTGAATAGACTCCGATTCTTTCTTTCGGAAAAATCATCTCATAAACATCTCTAGAAATCTTTTCCACAAAGTCGCAGTCACTACAAAAATACGTATCGCTCTAAGCACTTACTATGTTTTAACTTATATCCATTGTAAGGTGTGTTCTAACCTTTGATTATTGCTTGCTTCGTGGCCAGGGAAGCTTGCGATATGTGCAAGAGCGTTGCGCCATTGACTTGCTTGATCTGAAGTCCGATGCTCAAAGAAGGCCTTGCCGAAATTTCCCTTAAGTTCTTGCACATTTGATCTACTGACTCCGTAAAAGATAGCTGTCACCAAATGGTCTTTGTCATGTCTCTGGTGGATAGTCTTTAAGACTTTATCGAAATATTCCTTGGAGGACACGTACTTCTCCGAAAAAATCAACACAAAAGCAATGCACTCGTTGACTTCATCGTGTATATCTGCGAGCAAAGAGATGCCTTTACGACCAAATGCATCGGAAAGATAGGGGATGAAGCAGCACTGTAGTGTCTCCTCCGAGATGTCAAAGATGATTCTGACCGTCGTGCGAGCTGCCATGACTTGAAAAATTTTAAGTTTGGTGGTTTCTTGGGAATGCTCTGTTTAGTTTGGTGGTTTCTTGGGAATGCTCTGTTTCTGGGAACAGGGGATGGTGGGAAACTGTCTTAACATGGAGTACAACTTGGTGATGTAAATCATTTTTTGTTATTTAAAATTTTTTGCTTATTCGTATTTCTTATTAAAGCTCTTCTTCTTTAAAAGCGATTTGAATTGGTGTATTTTTAGTTTGAAGGGGTTAGCCATGACACCATCTCTTTGAACAAGTCTTGCTAGAAACTTCTAGTTTTTTTCTTTATAAAAAGAAAAAAAAATGCAACGACCATATAAATAACTTGGAGACAGGGGATAAAGAATCTACACGTTGACATACCACCAACCATAAGAAAAGAACACAAAGAGAAGTGGAGCAATATAAAGCGTCGACTTCTGGAATTACACAGGTTGCGTATATTTAGTAGAATCAGTAAACAATAAAATAAATCAAAGGGCATCGTTGTCTAAGTCCTTTTCGTCACCGTGGACAGTGCCTTCTTAAATTACTAAAAAAATCTTTAGGATTTAAATATTCCATAAATACTATCATTTCTAAATGTTCTACAAATACCACAAACACAAAATTTATTTTTATATTTAAATTTTTGGATCTAAGTTAACTATTGTAGAATTAGAATATAGTTTTAAAGAGTAGGGTTTTGATTTAGAATTTAGTTGTGAATATTGAAAGTTAACTTTAATTTTGTGATCTTTAGTGGAACATTTAAAAATGGTGGTAATGTATTTGTGGAATATTTGAAAAATGATGATATTTTTAAAAGCAAGCAAAATTTCATTTAGTGGTATTTGTGAGATTTTGTTTTTTATCTACTGGTCGATGATAAATTGATAACTATAATTTTGCCATAAACTATAATTTTATCTACTGCTTGATGATAAATTGATAACTATAATTTTGTCATAAAACTATAATTCAAGGATAATTTTTACAAATATCACATTTTGAAATTGTGTTTTAAAAACTACCATCATTTTCCAAATGTTTTACAAATATTATAATTTTTCAAATGTTCCACAAAACTAAAATTAACTTTCAACATTTAAATTAAATCTTAAACCTTAAACCCAAATCATACCCCTAAAAACTATACTCTAATTCTACAATAGTTAACCCAAATCTAAAAATTTAAAATTATAAAGCCTTTAAAATTAATTTTGTGTTTGTGTTATTTGTAGAATATTTGAAAAAATTATGGTATTTGTAGAACATTTGAAAAATTGTGGTACCTCTAAAAACACAATTTGAAAATATGGTATCTTTGAGAATTTATCATAAAACAATATACAAGAATTGTTATTC